GAGGGACTAGAATTACATGCAGTATTCGAAGTGTGGTCTTACTAACGCTTTGTAAAGCAATACTATAACTTCACATGATCTTAATTCTGTCTGTCTAGTAATGCAGCTTAGGATTGTATTGGTTGTTTTGCCTGCTGTCACTCATTGTTGCATTAGATTTAAGTGATTGTCCACTAGGACTCCAAGTTCCTTCTCAGTTACTGGCATTAAGCCAAGTTTTACCTAGTTGATACCTAGGCAGTTGGTTTTTTTCTACATATAAAACTTTAATCTGTGTAATATCATAATCTTAGATAGGGACTACTATTCAAGTGTGTCAAGTCTTTTTTGGATCTCGAGCTTGTCTTCTGGGATGTTGGAAATTCCTGCCAGTTTAGTGTCGTATGCAAATGTGATGAGTTCCCCTTCTATTTCCTTGTCTAGATAGTTTATGAAGATTTTAATAAGAGCTGGGTCTAAAATTTAATCTGAGGATACCCCACTGCTTCCTTCCTTCCATGTGGGTGTAGATCCATTGAGGATTACATGTTGAATACAATTTGTCAGCCAGTTAGGAATCCATTTTGCAGTGGTGCTGTCTGTCCCACATTTTTCTAGCGTTTCCAGAAGTAGTTTTGTTGCCTGGATGTTTTCCAAGATATTACCAGGTAATAATATCAGGCTGATCTGTGTGTAATTTCTGTAGTTCTGTTTTGATAAGTTTGTCATGTTTTCTTTTTGGATGAAAAGAACATGTAAAGTATTTTCTTTGTACCTTCTCCCCACTTCTTATAGTCCTGTGAATTAGCAAGATTTCTCTGAGTCTCCTCTGAATAGGATCCACATGCTGCAGACTTGGGAGACATTTCCCCTCACGTCTTTAGTCATGGAGTTTGCATATCTCCCAAGGCCAGTGTCAGGGTTCCAGCAGATGCCCTAATTAAATCATGACTTTCAAGCCAAACTTCAAAAGAAATCCAGTTATTTATTAGGAACTTCATGGCGGCACAGACTTCAGCGTATTGGTTGGAATTTGCCTTGATTTGACCAGCTCCTTGATGCAGCTGCAAAGTTTGCTTTCCCATCCCCTTTGCCTATGCCAACACGAGAGCAGGTCAGGGATGCTTTGCGAGTTGATAGCCAGTTTATTCAGCCTGAGCATAGGGAGGGTATAGGGTAGGGTGGATATAATGCTGAGCTAGGAGCACGGAGGTACACGTGTTCTCCACTCAGTCATGGAAAGTCATCAGAGATTATCCACACAGACCATTCACTAGAAAACTTCTGAAATGCCCTTGCACCCCAAGAGTTGTATAGACGCCTTAAAGTATTGTAAGTAAACATTGACAACTAGCTGAATTGGACCCGAGTGGCCACAGGAGGAAGAATCGGACAGGAATTTCTGGAACAGTGTGTTGAGTCAAGGTGTTTACATTCCCTGATCATATCTCACAGAGTGCATAGTTGCCATGCTGACCTTGTAGTTTCCCAAATGAGATTATTAAAAATAGTCCAGCATCGTTCTGTACTCTATAGGGTACTTGCCTGTTTCTATATCTTTGTAATGTAATGGGCTAATGGTATATAACCTGCGGTTCTGCTTTAGGTCAGCGTTGCTCAGAAAGCTGCCGATGTTTGGCTGGAATCCAGGCATGAACAGTGATTGTTTGCATGCTTAATCTATGTTGAATCTTCCAAGTGATTGGTTGCTTTAGATGGGGCAGGATTTGGCCATAATATTCCCTTCCTTTATACTTCTCCCATTTCTGTTTGCAATGTCCACAGGGGTGTGTGTGTGTGTGTGTGTGTGTGTGTGTGTGTGTGTGTGTGAGAGAGAGAGAGAGAGAGAGAGAGAGAGAGAGAGAGAGAGAGAGAGAGAGAGAGAGAAACCTGTAATGATTAACCCTTTAAATCACCAGGCATTGAGTGCCACTCCAAAGGATTAACTTTTTCTGCATGTCCTTCTTTCTTGCTTGTTTTTCTGGGAAGCTCCCACCATCAATGCTATTTCCTCAGATAAGTCACAGACTTGACACAGGGAACTTATAGCCGCAGCAGGAGGCAACTTTTGACTCCAATCCAAGCTTAGTGGGTCCCTACAAACTAGTGTGAGCACGTGTGAGTGCATGTGACCACATACACCTGCACTCCCCGGGTAGCAAATTATAATTTTTAAAGAGCAGCTGTCATCTCTGTCCCGCAGCAGCTCCTCCTCTGACCTGTTGTTGACTCACCGACAGTCCCAATATTGTAGGATATACAGCCTCCTGCTACATAACTAAGCTCAATTTCATACTGAATAAACTGAAGGGAATAGTAATAATAAAGAAATGTAGTAAAATATATTATAGCATTAAGTAGAGTGTTACTCTATAGGCATTTGTTATCTTGCCATTGTAAAAAAGATTTCCTTAACCTTTCACTTGTTGTAAAACAATTATAAACACAATCAGTTACATTCCTCTCCTATTAAGACACATGATTGTCCCATCTAAATCAATCTGAATCCATCTGTTTTCCTGGATTGATACATTTCACCCCAGCATCAACCCCTGGGAACGAAATGTACCTCTCTGGGAATGTAACTACCTCCATTCTGAGGAATCCACACCTTGAAGTATGCTGCTAATAGCCTCCTTAAGTGGTCAATTGTGATCAATTAGACATGAAAGATAAACAATGCCTGAGAAAAATTTGTCTTTGCAGGAAAGATGTAAATCTAAGTTAGAGAGTTTTACAATGCAGTTACGACTTCTAAGAATCTTAAAGGTATAAGGAGGACAGGGCATCTTTCTGTATTTTGTAGAATTTTCCTCCCATGTCTCTTGTGATGTGCTGGGAACTTCTTCCCAGATCTTTAACTTTGAACAAAGAATAAAAGACTACTTTCTTTGATTTGCAAGCTTCTGTTTAAGTCTTTGTTTTGGTTCATTTTTGGCTTAAGCGTAGTGCAGACCTTACAAAACTAAATTATTAATGTATTTTAAATAGAAAACTATATTTAGATAGATTTGTACTCCAAAAGCATTTTATTTAAAAAATCTGATTTAAATTTCAAAAAAAATTCGTGATTCTGTGAGCAACACAATCTGCCTGTCTGCTTTGGAGTAAAAGTTGCTCTTTTTTTAATAACAAAATAAAGATTTACATACATTGTGTGTTGTGAGTTAATTTTGTGAATTTGCTTGCTAGCAAACTTTATGTGACAGACTGAGCTAGCCGATTGCAGATAGATCTCTAAATTAATCTGTGATTCTGTGAGCAACTCGATCTGCCCACCTGCTTTGCCTGCTTTTGGGTAAAAGTTGCTCTTTTTTAATAAAAAAAATCAATATTTACATCAATATTTATAATATTTACATACAAGCCATGCCCACCCAGTCACATGACCACCAAACCATACCCACAAATTAGGCCACACCCACAAAACCGGTTGTTAAGAAATTTGAATCCCACCCCTGGGCAAAACTCACTTAACAAGTTTCTCACTTAACCACATAAATTTTGGGCTCAATTGTGGACTATCTGTAACTGAAGACTGGAAAAGAGCTGATGGGGTTCCCATCTTCAAAAAAAAAGAGAGGGGAACAAATCCAGGAAATTACAGACAGATCAGCCTGATATTAATACCTGGTAACATCTTAGAAAACATATCCAGGCAACAAATCTATGAACATACTTTACCTTAACAATCTGAACTTCAAAGTTTGATTCTGAGGAAATGGGACTGTTCTGTCTGAGTGGGAATGTATGGCTTTTCACCCTGCCCTCTGACACTTAGGTTGGCTTTGGGGACATTGAAAGGGTTTCTGACTCCTAACCATAAGACACCGAACCAACTCCATGTGGTCCAGAACCGATGTGGTTCGGTCCATCAATAAATGGACCTTCTTTTCAATTGGCCCCAGCCTCCATTTTGTCTCCAGTGCCTTTCTCCCGGCTTGGAACTGGACCTGGATGTTTCTTCCAACAGTTGCCTTTATTTAATGTTGCTTGATATCTTTAGCCCTGTGAGAGATTCAGAGGCTTTGGGATCATTGCAAGCATTTCCAACTCCTAAATATAATAAGATGAGACATAAAGATGGTGCACTAAAATGTGACATCAAGGAAAAAGGCAAAATGGATTAAATATATTTTTACTATTTTAAATTTTACAAATTTTGCACATGTTTAAATTTGAAAGCAGTTGGACTTAAGAATCAGGCCAAGAGCCTCTTGGTTTCTCCACACACCTGGCCCGGTCCTGGTTGTTGGGTGTCCTTCATGTAATGAGAGCTACTAAAAAAAATATAACCTGTCTTTCTGAATGGTGTTATGGAAATAAATCTTGGAATTCCTTGGTGTCTTTCAATCTCAGAAAAATCAGGATCATTCATCTGCCTAGCTAAAATGTCACTTTCGCTGCTACAAATAATGTTCCTCCCTATATTTAAAGGATATATTTTTGGAAAAAATATTAAGGAGCCCTGAGGGACAAGTGAAAGAACAGGAAACCTGTTCTGTTTACAGATATTCAGTATTACAGAAACACTTTCCTTTATTTCTCTTTCTCAAAAGCTATTCAAGATTCTTACACAATGCTGTTTAAACATTATCTACTATACAATTATTTCCTCACATTTCCCCACCAAGGGGAAGGGGGGAACCACAAAATTATCTGTCCATTGATGCGGCTCTCAGGTCCCAGCTCTCAAAAGGCAACAAGGAGGCAACTCCAAGCAAACAAGATCACAGCAGGAATTACAAATAAAACCTAGAAATCCTGTTCTCAAAACCACAATCCCTTTTCTCCTCAACTCAATATTCCTACAGCTCTTCTCCATGAAGGCCACCTACAAGGCACAACAGCCTTTACATCTGAAATTTTAAACTGCTTTTGTCACTGCCCCAAACTTCCCCAATATATTTGCTATTCATATGGTTTCTTCTACTTGCGTGCCTCACTATTGACACAATCTGAACAGACATGCTTGATTTTCTGAATTCCTGGAACTGTTTGGAAAAGATGAACTTTGAAACGCTTCTGCTTCTCTTCTCCTCTCATTTTCTCCTTATATGAGGAGCCCCAATCTGCAACTATAGCCTTAGTGGTCCTATCCCAAGAGATGCTGGTTGGGGAATTCTGGGCCTGAAACTCTTGGGGTACCCAGGGAGAAAAAGGCAGGGACTCTGTATGTGGCATATTTATCATCCACCATTATAAAAATGCAATGAACATTAAAAAAAAAATTTTTTTTTACAATTTCTGCAAAAATAAATACAGATAATCCCCAGGTTATGAGCGTTCTGTTAGCGAACGTTCAAGGTTATGTGATATGTCTCCCCTAGAATTTACAAACAAATCCTGAAATTATGAATATTGCAGCACCATGTCAGTTTCTTTGCCAGCATTTGCAGAGAACTGAGGCCCAACGTACTGCAAGATCACCCAAGACCAGCAGCACAAGATCTTGTGTAATCTCACACTTTAGGTCTCTAATCTCTGCAAATTGAGACCTGGACATCTGCAAACAGAGGGAAGGCTTCTGTCCTTTAGTCCTTCCTTCTGTTTGCCTATTCCTTGCCGAAGCCTGCAGGGAGATTCTGTTCCTGTAGTCTTCTGCAGCCCTTTACAAAAAGCTTTTGTTGGCACCAGCAGAGCTTGGGAAGAGCAGACGCGCTCCTCTGAAGCTCTGTTCCTATAGGCAAAGGCTTGCAAAGGGCTGCCAAAGCCTACAGGAACACAATCCTCAAGCGCTTTCCTGACAAGAAAGTAGCCTCGAGAGACCGCGCGCAGTTTCTTGGTGTTGCTTTCTTGGCACTGGAGGCCTCATCAGGCTGATCTGGGGCGAGAAAGTAGCAAATGCAAGAGAGAAAGCAGGAAGTGATGTCGTTCAATGTATGAGATTCACTCCCACGCATTCTTAACTTACGGATGGAATGGGCAGGCTGCATTGCATTCGCAGCTCGGGGACTTTCTGTATCCACCAAATTCTGCTCCTGATGGCCAGTTAGGCATTATCAAACTACATGTTTTCCTACAAAAGTTAGGCAAATTCTTTGTAGCCAAATTAAACAATTTCTCAGCTGGACTTACAAAGGGACATTAGAAATGAAATTCAAACCTTCCCTACACTAATCACTTAGGGCCTTATGTGCATTTTCTTGTGTGTGATAATGGTGGAATGTTTCCTGAAGAACCATCCACACTCAGAACACTCAAATGGATTCTCACCTGTGTGTATAAGCATATGATTTAGAATTCTAGCTTTAATACTGAAAGCTTTCCCACAGTCTGGACACTTGTATGGTTTTCTCTCCTGTGTGACTTCTCTGGTGTGACATCAGGCAGGAACGCAGACTGAAAGTTTGCCCACAATCACAACATTCAAAAGGCTTCTCGCCTGTGTGAGTCCTCTGGTGTCTCACCAGGCTGGAATGAAAACTGAAACTTTTCCCACAATCAGGACACTGAAAGGGTTTCTCTCCTGTGTGAGTTCTCTGATGTATCACCAGGCTGGAACTCCGACTAAAACATTTCTTGCAATCAGGACATTGAAAGGGCTTCTCTCCTGTATGAGTTCTTTGGTGTCTCACCAGACTGGAATTATCACAGAAACATTTTCCACAATCAGGACATTCAAAGGGTTTCTCTCCTGTGTGAGTCCTCTG